TTTAAATTAAGACATTTTAATAAAAAAAAAAAAAACCCATAAAATTTTAAAATAATGTATAAAATTTATTTGGCTTATATATACTTGGGCTTTATTTCATTTTTATTTTAGGTAATTCAAACTTTTGAATTTTAAAGGGAAAAAAGTTATGGAGACAATTGAAAGCTTAATTACTACATTGAAAATTATAGAAAATTTGAATATAAAATTCACTATAAATTGTTTCACCCCATTCCTGACATTCCCCACCCCCCCCCCAAAAAAAGGAAGGTTTGTCATTAGAAAACAATTTTTTTCCCAATAAGAAAAGACACTAGTCTGAGCATCATTCTTTTTATCTTATTTCTAATTGATGATACTGCATCAATCATTAACTATCATTTAAGATTTAATATAATTTTTTTAATTTCATTCCAAATCATATTTTACTTTTAATACTCCAGGTTTTACAATAAAAATCAAAATTTATTTCATTTTATAAGTCACTAACTAGAAATATATCTTAACGAATCTTTTCCTATTTACTAGACAGCCATCTATGATATTCAATTTCCTTTGATTTCTATTAAAATTTCTCTCAAATTGACATAATCTTTCCCTGGATCTAATAAACATGGCCTCCAAACTAGACTTATATTTCATGATAAATAATTCTGGATAAATTAACAGACCATTTATCAGCCAACTTGTCTACAGAAACTTTCTGCTATAAAATAATGTAAACCAAGACTTAGGTGCCAGTAATGTTAACTCAATTGAGTTTCATTAAATTCCACATAAAAATAAGAAAAATAAAAATTATGTATAATAATAGACTAAATTTTCATGTAATATTACATTTTGAACAATTTTTCTCAACAAAACATAACGGAAGAAATCACCTCTGTCCTCAAAATCCCCCCTAAACAAGGAATTTCAATTTGTCAAAATATGTAGAGAATTAAACTTATCTGCCAAATTCCATCCCCCTATTCCATCAAAAGTAAAAAAATCTCCAGACTTTTCCCAGGACATTCAAACAATTGCATCATTTTAACTGGTTTGCAATTCAGCTTTATCTAATTAAAAGTAAATCCTTACTTAACACTGCTGAGTTTGTAATGAATTAGTCTGGAATTAAACTTGGAACTGACAAGTATATTACAGAGATTTTGACATTAATTTTCAGCCATCAAAACCAAGCAGCCACCAGTATAGAGCATGGTCAGACTGCATAGAAGTACAAATTTGCCTGACACTATACAAGTCATTATTGATAAAAGCTTGTACCATATTAACAAATAATTGGGCTTTAAGTCATTATTTTATCAGCAGAGGAAGACCAAGGATGCATTATTGCAGGCACTCAAGCGGGCACCCGAGTTATCAACCCCAGACTTTCCATATGCCAGTTGGATAGCATCATCACATGAAAAAATCCAAAGTCATTGGCAGGATTCAAATTGTGGACAGCAGTGAGGGGATATCAAAGACAATGTGTTGAACCATTTTGGTTCCTTCATTTTAAACGTAATAATCTTTCAAAAGAAATATTTCATTCATCCTCAATAATACCTTGTAACCAAAATTTCCTTACAAAATAAGAATTCCTTTGATACCAGTGTAAAAACTTCTTTCCAATTTTTTTCGCACTGTTATGAAAAAAAATATCAGACTTAAATGCACAGTGGTAACAAATCTTGATGAAAAACATATTCTGTATGAAAATAAATGACGCGAACGATCTGGCGTGTTTTCGAAATAAATTATTTGATCTAGACTTTGATACAAAATTGATATTAAAGGACATCAATTATTTTTTCTGGGGGAAATATTTCACTTGGCTCTATCATGACACAATCTGCAGATTAGATTCTACGAGAGTGAAATGCTGGATAATTTCACCGGAATTGGCGAATTTTTTCACCGAGCCTTAAATGCTATATCAGCTCGTTGATAGGAAAGTGCTGTTATCTGGATGTTTAATGAATGACGTTACTTTATGAATGGTTTTTTTCCCATACTGTACTTTTAAAAACTGGAGGGAAAATGTTTTTTTTTTAAAAAAAGTAGCGCAGGTGGTTCGTACAGAATCAAAGGTGATTTAATCCACATGTTTAGAGAGATTATGTATGAAAGAGAAATCAATGACTTCAATAAAACTCTGTTTTAACTCGATGAAATCAAATGGTTTCAAAAGTTATATGACCGTTTTAGCTGAACATTAAATCTAATTGCTGATTATCCTTATTTATTATAAATTTAACAATGTAAACCAATAAAGGTTGTTTAAATATATACTTTTCAATGCAATACTAATTTAAACATTAGTAAAAATCAAAAAAATATTTTACATGTGTTAAAGAGGCCCTTAATTAAAACTGATACTTTAACTTTACTTACTTGTCCATAAGTCGGTTTGCTTTTAAGTCGGGGGTCAAAATTTCATACTAAAACATATTCTTTGATAAGTACATTATAATGTTAAAACAGTTTTATAGAAATCTTGCATTTCCTAGCATAGTATAATTCAAAACACAGCAATAAATGCAAAGAGATAAAACTTAAATTCCAATCTTAAATACATCAATAAAATGCAGCCTAAATGCTTATCATATCACTGACAATGATATCTCTGGTAAAAACTTATGATATTGAAAAGAAATATGAACTTCAAAAAAAAAGTACAAAAAAAAGATATTATGACAAATTGGAGACAGTGCCTTACATTGGGAAAGGCAAAAAAGGTACATAACTGAGCATTAAATTAAACAGTTTACACACAAAAAATATGAAATGGTGATAACCCCTGAATAACATAGACGATTGGTCCTTGTTTTATATGAGATGATAAAAATTGCACATATTCTGGCTAATCTAAGAGAATGTGTTAATCTTACTTCCAAAAATTATGAGCTATACTTTGAAGAAACTCCACAGAGAAAAATGTAAAAAAACAAGATTGCATTTGAGAAAAATGCTATGCCACCACATTAATACAACACTAAATAGTAGTGTAGGAACAGATTTTCTTTGTTTCTATACAATTTTGAAGATTGTCATAATGCATAGATCCCTGACCTATCTAATTCTTATTATCAGATTAGTGGTTAAATCTGTTGTTAACTCAATAAAAGATCAGAGTAGGAATATATCAATGCACTTGAGTCTAGTGAATTTGGTGGTGAAGGTCATATTTCACACAGCCAAAATTTCATGACTACATCAAAGGACAACATAGTAAGACACTTTGTCAAAATCTAGGTCAGCTGAAATCAAAGTTCACTTAACATCTTAATCTGTACACATGGTTCAAATTTCATAGCTGTACATCAAAGGACAAGAAAGTAGGTCACATCATCAAAATCTATTTCACCTGATATCAAAGTTCAATTTTACAACTAAAACTGTGCACATGGTCAAAATTTCATTGCTGTACATTAAAGGACAAGAAAGTAGGTCACTGTCCCCTTGGGCAAGGCAAAATTTTGGACCCAAGGGTTTAATTCAAAACAATCTTGATACAGGTCCACCAAACAACATTTCAAGTCAAATATCTAAGCTGTAGCTTTCTCTTATTCAGAAAAGATTTGTTTTATTTTCTGTTTTTACTATGTGAACATAATGAGAATCACTGCCCCTGGACAGGGCCAATTTTAACACTAGGGGCATAATTAAAACAACTTTAGTAGAGAACCCATAGAATATATTATAGAGCAAACATCAAAGCTCTATGCCTTGTACCTTCAGACAAAAATATTTCTTTTTTTTTTTTTTTACTATATGTACATAGTAAAAATCAATGACTCCTGGGGGTGGGGCCAATTTTGACCCCAGGGCTATAATGTGTACAATCTTGCTAGAGGTTCACTACATAATGTTTCATGCAAAATATCTTAACTCTAGCCTTTGTAAATTTAGAGAAGGTGATTTTTTACGTTTTAACTATATACATATAAGGAAAACCTATGGCCCATGGGGCGGGGCTAATTTTGACACAAGAGGCAAAATTTGAACAACTTTGGTAGAGTACCTATAGATGATATCATTTAACAAATATTCAAGCTCTAAGCATTGTTCCTTCAGACAATAAGAATTTTTTATTTTTTACTATATGTATATATTGAAAATCAATGACCCCGGGGCAGGGCCAATTTTGACCCCAGGGCTATAATTTGAACAATCTTGCTAGAAGTTCACTTCACAATGTTTCATGCAAAATATCTAACCTCTAGCATTTGCTAGAAGAAATTTTTTTACTATAAAGTTTTTTCTATATACATATAAGGAAAACCAATGACCCCAGGGGCAGGGCCGATTTTGACCCCAGGGCTATAATTTGAACAATCTGAGTAGAGGTCTACCAGACAATGCCTTATGCAAAATATCTAAGCTCTAGGCCTTTTGGGTCTTTACAAGAAGGTATTTTAAGTTTTTACTATATGTACATATAGTGAAAATCAATGACCCTCGGGGCGGAGCTGATTTGACCCCAGGGCTATAATTTGAACAATCTTGGTAAGGGTCTACCAGACAATGCCTTATGCAAAATATCTAAGCTCTAGGCCTTTTGGGTCTTTACAAGAAGTTATTTTAAGTTTTTACTATATGTACATATAGTGAAAATCAATGACCCCCGGGCGGGGCCGATTTTGACCCCAGGGTTATAATTTGAACAATCTTGGTAGAGGTCTACCAGACAATGCCTTATGCAAAATATCTAAGCTCTAGGCCTTTTGGGTCTTTACAAGAAGATTTTTTAAATTTATTCTTATAATTCCTTTTGGTTGCCATGGCAACCAGATTTCTGCATGGAATGAAATTCTTTGAACAACTTTGGAAGCCCTTCACCCAAGGATCAATCCTGCCAAGTTTGGTTGAAATTGGACAAGTGGTTTTTCACAAGAAGATTTTTTAAGTTCACTATATAATCTATATAACACACACACACACACACAAACAAACACACAGGTGAATCGCTATATGCCACCGCATCGCAGATGCTGCGGTGGCATAAAAAAAAACTAGTTGTAAAAACAGGACATGAGTAAATGTTAAAGCTATGAAAAATCTACTTGGATCAAATTAAAGGTTTTACAGATATTTTTGTATATTTGAGTCATATATTACAATGTGGCATGTTAATGCACATGTACCAACAAATTTAACCAACTATGTTTTATTTCTAAATAAACAAAAAGAAATTAACGTTCTATTATTCCATAATCATAACAAAAATTAGTTATTTGCCAAACAAATACACAAAATCAGGGTTAAAAACTATTAAATAAATCAGGGTTAGCAACTACTAAATGAGACAGATAATTTTTAAAATGCTATAGAATCAATGTTATCTTAATTTTAGCACTTTGTTGAACAGTCAATAGGTTGACAGTTTTGTTCTTTGAATGATAATTGTTCATATTCTGACTTTGATTCTTCTATTTTGTCTTCAGACGAATGTCTTTGTTCACTAAAATAGTCTAACCTTTGACCTTGAGAGCTCTCAGAGCGAGGTGAAAGGTCATCGGGTGGCTGAGACGACAACTCCATATCATCGCTATGTAGACTGTCCCCTTCACTACCTACTGGGGAAACTGGTTCACTGTCTATAGACTGATTTGTGCTATCAATTCTTTCTTTATCAAATAGACTGTAACCCAGTCTATCCATACGGTATTTGTCAAATTGTTCTTGGTCAAAAGATTTTTCACTTTTATCATCAGGGGTTTTATCATCTTTTTCAGGACTTAAACCGTTACTGTCTGATTTTTCAAACTTTTCATATTCACCATTGTCTATCATAGCAATATCATGCATGTCCCCGTACTCGCTCATTTCTTTAATGGCTGCCTCTGTTGTATGCTGTATCAACATGCTAAGGTCCATACTCATACCGGACGGAATACAGTTTCCGGTTTTCCAGTGAGTTTTCAGTCCGCTCGCACTTATGTATTTTCTATTGCACTGTGGACATTCATAAGGTCTTTCATTTGTGTGTAGTCTTTTATGCAGTTTTAAATGTACAAATTGTGTAAATTTGGCTGGACAAAGTTTACACATGAATGGTTTCTCTCCGCTGTGTAATCTCATATGTGTCTTTAAATTTGAGGTGGAGCTAAAACGTTTGTGGCAAACCTGGCATTCATGTGGCTTTTCACCAGTGTGGACCAAATGGTGCTTCTGTAGATGGGCAAGTTGTGTAAATCCCTTCCCACATGTCTTACAAACAAATGGTCTTTCACCTGTGTGCGTACGTAGATGAACCTTAAGATTTGATAACTGTCCAAAGGTTTTCAGACAAAATTTACATTCATACAACATTTTCCCGTCTTTCTTCCTGAGAGGATATGGCAAGGATCTGTGGCCCCTTCCGTCTAAGCCAGACTTATGTTTGATGCTGAGGTTTAATGGATCACCACTCGGTGGTCCAGAATGACTGGTTGGTGGTCGTGGAAATGGCGAAGGTTGTAAATGAGGTGCGGGTGGTGGTAATGACTGTTGATGCTGGGGGTTGTTCATACCCATTGGTGGGTAAGGAGGCGGAAACATCGGCCATGGCAACTGCTGGTAATGGTTAAATGGATACATTGGACCAAAAGGGTACATTCCAGGTAGCCCAGTTTGAGGAAAATACAATGGTCCTGCGGGTGGCTGCATTTTTCCAATAGTTCCTGGTGTCATAAACTTTGAATACATCTCATCTGTTGGCATATTTCCGTACGGAGGCACAAATGGTTTGTCAACTAAATTCCCAAATGGTCTAAATGGAAATGGATTAAATGTCTCAGATACTGGTATTTTCAAGTCTTTGGGTCCATTACTTATATCTGGCTTCTTTTCAATATCTTTTGACATTTCATCTTTTACTTCAGGCTTCATGTCATGACTGGATGGGCTAAGTTTTGGCTCCTTCCATTTTGGTTCAGAATCTTGTTCATTGCTCTCTTTCATTTTCTTTAAAAATAAGTTCTCATAGAAGCCCATGCTCGGACTTCTTTTTGGTGTGCTATGTGAAAGTTTGATTGGTGATGGAGCCATGATGCTTGGCAGACTACTTCTGATGCTACCTATTGGAGATATTTTACTGGTAAATGCACTTCCTGTCCCCAGCCCTAATTTTGGACTTTTGAAGGGTGACAGTGAGTCTTCGCCACTAAATGATGCCCGTTTTCCATGAGTTGTATGATCAAGGTCATCGCTTGTTGGACTTCCGTCCCGTTTATGGAGACTGTAGTCGATTGCATAGCCGTCTTCTCTAACGCCACTATCATCACTGTCGCAATGATCGTCTTTCACCGGCTTCTCTTTTACTGATCTCGGTGGCGTTCTAGATAGATGGCGATTTAAGCATAGGTGGCGCTCTTCTATATACATAGGTAATGGCATGGGGACCTGCTGATTGACGGCCTGTCTTTCTGCAATAGATAAAAACGTATCAATTTAGTATATAAGGTATCAATATATATAAAGGAATTTGATCCCATACCTTCACCTGGTATCAAGTATCTTATATCAAAAAGTTCCATTCGGTCATTAAGATGAAAAATTTACTGACAACCGTTACCGACTAATGATATACATACTTTCTAACTAACTTCAATTGTGATTAATTTACTTTCACATTCCTATTTCTATAAGATTGTCTTTGACAATTCATAATCCCTTCCCACAAATATCAATAACTTCACTCTTCATTTAATGATATCACCTCTTTTTTTATATGGTATTTATTTCTCTTTTACCCTTATTCAGGAGAGGTTTTGAAAAAATAAGGATTTTACGTATCAATTCCGTACTTGAAATTGAAATATCAGTTTTTTAAACAATTTTAATATTTACATTACAAGCTTATTAAATATCATCTCCCCAGACGTGAAGGAGAACATAAGTTGGACGTATGTATCGTCAGTGATATTTTATATTCTTTTAAAGATGAGCCACTCTGAAAGCACTTGATCCCTCTTGTAATTTGAGGGCTTTGTAAGCTACTTCAATTTTACTTTCATCCAGAGTAAATAAAAGCGACATTTTATATTTAATTGTAGAACTGGGCCGTTTTCTTACCCAATTCATTCCTTTGTTGCCCAAAAAAATCTTTTTGGTAGTATATTCAGCTGTAAATCACACAGTTAACAATTCTTACGCAAACATTTCGAGGCCTTTTTAAAGTATTTGTAGCATTATGAAGTTGAAACTTTAAGAACAGAACAAATTTTCAGTTTCAATAAGAATAAGTCACTTTAAAGAATACATATTAAAGAAATAGTGTCTTTTTATATCTTTAACATTAAAGAATATCCCATGTATTAACTTTAAATGCAGCTGTATTTGCCAAATGAAAGAAGAAGAAAAAATTATAGCAGGAAAAAAACACTTTCTGCTTAATGCAAAACCAATTTTCATCAATTTCAATCAACAACATTCAAAACTGTATAAATTTTATGTAGGGCTGTATTTAAGAGATTTTGTTTATCTTACTAATTAATAGCCATTAATGTTCATAATAAAAATGCATTTTGAAAGATAGCGACCATTATGTGAATAGAGGCTTTATCGACGTTTAAAAGTATTAGCTATTTTTTTCAAATGGTTATCACATCACCCATTCAGCTAGAGCAAGTATTTTCACTTTAAGTGAAAACACATTTTGACAGCTATTTTTCATCTTAAAGCGAAAACCACCTGCATTAGATATAATAATGCACGATACAAGCTAAATTTCTTAAAAACGCGTTAAAAAAATCTTCTCCGTTTTATTTCATTCATTTTTATGGGGAACAACTAAATAATTCATCCGGTCCTGTTTTTTAGAAAGTAATTCAAATCTTCGTTAATTATCATTTTCTCACATTTTTAGACGTGCTGTCACTTTACTTTCATTGCTATTGCAACTTGAGAAAACCGTTTGAAAAGCTTCAATTATATATAGTATTACACACTCATTTCAACACGTAGAATTGTACACATAATGTTAGGTTAGAGTGAATCGCAATTTTTTCCGGCATTTTAGAAGTGCCCGAAGGTAACATTTTATGCTGTTTACTACACATTAGATACGTTCTTATATTTCAAAAGATTATTTAAAATGCTACAAAAAAATCTCATTTTCAAACTTTCTATGCAGAATTAGCATACCCCATAAGTAGCTACTTTAGATCTGAGGCCATCTTAATTATATCATGTGAATTATGATATAGAATATGAATGTTTATAATCTTTGATGGTATTGAATTAAAGCGTCACATTGTTAGTTTTGTTAAATTCAATATTCTGTACTTATTGTACTCAAGAAGAGAAAAGATTAGCGTAGGAAAGTATCTAAATGATATTTCTCAATTTAAAAGAGATAGATCTAAAAAAAATCGACAATTTGGGGAGAAACCATAGAACACAGATGCCCTTACATTCCAGCAGGACATTGGGATGGACGGACGAAGGAAAACCTATATGACCCCCCCCCCCACCCATCAATCCCCATGGAGCACGAAAAATTTCTGTTTCCTGATATTAACATAAACAAACTAAAAACCAACCACATCCTTTTTCATATTAGATAATTTTTTGTATGTTTGTCCCTCGGTTTTTCTACATTACTCTTTGACAATTCTAATTCGTAAATTTGAAACCACAACAAGTAGGGAGACTAACTTTATCCATGGAGCTTTCTCAGCTTTTCAGGCTGATTTACAACAGATGATAAAATAAAACTGTAATCAAATTTTCGAGACCAAGAAAAAGTGGAGAGAGAAAACAAAAAAAAGCGAAATCTTACGCAATCAAATGAACAAATTTATAACCTATAAGCTTGATAATTCGAGACCCTCCCTGGCGGGCTTACATATCAGTATTATGTTTTATATATGCCTTAAATTATTATAATCATTTTTGTTTCTGCCGTTATCAAGTTATCTTTCTGTGCATCTGCACCATTTTTCACGTAAAAAAGAGTATTTCCTGTGATATCTACACACTTTCGATTTGGCACCGACATATTTCGTATCTTATTATTTTTTTTCGCTTTATAAATAAATGATAAGATAGACTACATCATAATTTTGTCCATCGTAAAGTTTCCTGAAGCTGTCTGCCATGATATTATAATCATGCTGTAGGAGTAAAATTTTCAAACTTTTTTTGGTAAATCGGTACCTACACCCAATAAAATGTACAGCACTTGTCAAATCAACTTAACTCCTATAAAAGTGAATCCTACCCTTATTTCTGTGGAAGTGTTCAGATTAAAAAACGTCAACTATTTTATCAGTAACAAGCAAAGTTTGTGAAAAAGGTTAGGAGAAAAATTACAAATATTTTTTACAGAAAACTATGAAAATACTTCTTCTAGTTAAAGTGTTTTGGTGTTTGACATGTTCTACCTCTTTATATATATTCAACTTTTTTTTTTTTTTTTCAAAATACTTGGAAAAATAAAGATTTAAGTAAAAAAAAATAAAGAGTTTTAAAATGGTGTAAGAATTGGTTGGTATACCATAGAGAAACATTTCCAATTTTTATGAGACAAACAAAAATTTTCCTAATCAAATTAAGGATGAGAAAGGGACTGAACTACCTTGTTGTCAATGACAACATAAAGCCCAGACTCCATGTTAAAGAAAATTAACCACAATGGAAGCAGATGGTGGTCAAGATTTGTAACACTTTGTTACCGATATTGAATGGCAGAATTAAATAAACTTACTCCATGCTTGCAACATTTCTTCGCCAGTTCTTGGTACGTTCAGCCTCTCAGCATATTCCCGGCAGTACCACACGAGGAGTTCCGTGTTGGGCGGTATCGGTTTGATAGTGTAGAAATAAATATTGTAGTCGATCTGACACGCAATTACGTTCTGCTGTCCCGAGTTGTAACTAAAGTTAACGTAATGCATCCAGTTGCTGCGACTTGTGTCCCCTACATCCATAAACTCACACACTTTGTTGTCTTTAAATATCTGAATAACAAATTGAAAATAAAACTTTATTAGCGACTGCTTTACAGAACAAAAAATAATCCTTATATAAACAGCAGTAATTATGTTCATTTGCAGGACATGTATTTATTCCTTCTCATGTTCAATTATTTAAAAGGATTTTTCTATCTCTCAGGAAAACTTTCAAAATAGGTACTGACTGGATTGCAAACAGTGCAGACAATGAGTGTCGGCTGATATAGGTCTGCACGGGTCGCAATGGTATATTCAGTTTCCCCCAGAGGGCTTTGGGTTGATAATGATTTCATAGAAGTTACATGGTAACAAGTGATGTATATTGGTACGATTGTATTGTTTTAGGATAAAAACTGTGGATAAAAAATTACCTAGTTTTATCTAGCTTTATTAAATACCTATATCAGAAATGAATCTGTACATTCATTTCCTAACAGACTTTTTCTTGAGAAATTACATCAATTTTAAAATCATGAAAGTTACTCCTTTTTTATTACATAAAGTGCATTTACAGTGTTGACGTTTAGTTATGTCAAATATATCATCTGTCAAACATGAACCAAAATACGGAAAAATTTCATTTTGAGAGAAATTCAAATTCATCGTAAGATGCCTTTGCTATTTAAACGTGACTTGAGAAATATCATTAAAGTAAAGTAATTCCTCATTTAAACATAATTATAATGTGATAAAAAAAAACACATTGAAATAAATCTAAAATCCCAAATATTTAAATTAATTGGAACGTTAATGGCCATGAATAATACACATCATTTATTATTTTCTGTTAAGTATTTAATTTCTTTATATGTATTCAAACTGATATTTTTGATAAGTATAAAAAAAAATCATAATACCGATTGCTTTCACTCTTATGTTAAATATAAGTGATGAAGATCGTGATATCATTTTAAAGCGGTTTTAGCAGGGAAAAAAGAAGTTCCTTTCCTCATCTAAAGCTTTCAATCATATTTTTTTTTTAGTAAATCACGATGATGGATATGTCTATGATGGTTAACGCAGCCACAAAAAGTGATTGTTTGATTAAATGGGTGTGCAGTTTTATCTAGTCATTAATGTGCGAGACTAAAAAGTTTTCAATATTAAGTGATTAATTGAAATTTTTCTTTTTTTCATGAAGAACTCATTACGCCGAAGAATTCTCACTTTCCTTTTTGAAATTTCAGTCGCTTTTAGACTCTACATACGACCCTTGACACTTTGTATAATACGATATTAGACGCTTTGTACCATAAATTCTATCTAGCATTCGGCTGTCAAAATAACGCAGCCGGTGAAAAGGAAAATTATTAATATTTACAAAATAATGATGCAAATCACTAGCACGTTTTTCGTGTAAAAAAATCGTGTCTTTTTTAAGAGTCTATTGAAAATAACAGTGCACTCTAAATGCAAATATTTTAATACTATATTCAGTGAAATATATAACGTACGGATAAAAATCTCAGTCCATTATAAAATGATAGTTTCATAGTCTTCTGCATCAAACTAAGAGTGAAGGGCAGCTCTCCTGTGGCATCTAATCTAATTAATTATTTATAGACTACTGCATATGAATTCACAATTAAACAAAATTTCTTTTTCAACGAAAAAGATTTCCGAGATCCCATCTCATATTTTTAAGATTTATCCGCAAAAATTTACATAATATTTTCGATAGTTAAACATTAATTAAATTTAACAGATAATCTCTCGCACAGTTTAATAACCCTTTCATGGCATAAAAGTATGCATTTTAATTATTTTGACTTTACAGCGCTTCTTTGTTAATTTTTAAATTTCAGTGATACAAAAATTGACAATAAACGCAAAATGAGTCCACCAAAAAAGAAACTAAGAGGATGATTTATACGATATTCTTAATGAAACATTGCATAGGGTGTCCAAAATCAGGATGTAACTTGGAGAGTACGTGCAGAAGTACGTGTAAAAAAAAAATCTCTGTCAGCATTTTTATGCCAAGACACAATGAAAGGTCACCTTTCATTGTGTTTCAGTTTCAGACACGTTGGTCTGTATTTCTGCACTTTTGACCCATACAAAAAGAAATTTTACCCATAAAAGACACAATAAGCAGCCTGATGACATATTAATTAAAAAAATAATTATTAAATATTTGACAGCAAATGTATTAATTATACATTAAAATTAACCATATAATAGATATATGATAAATTACAGGCATGAGAATAAAGAAATTAAAGGCGAGGGTATCGCTGTCGTAAGCAATAATTTCTTAAAAACTTTCTGAATAAAGTGAAACTCATTTCGACATTTTGAATTGTGTCGTTTTGTGAATTTTTTCATGGTATGTATATTATATCCAAATAAAACAGGTGCCCTTTCTTGGCATTAACAAAGACATGAAAATATAGTGTACTCTGCTGCACTTAAACTTCGGAGCGGAAAAAAAAAATTATACAAACCTTCCAGAGACAGATTCTGTTGGTATCTCCACGTCTAAGTGGCTCTTCTTTTGTTATCTCACCATTTAGGGGCCCAAACCTTGTACCTCTTGGAATGTAGTCTACACTCCAAACCCCTTGAGCCTGAAAATAAAATCAATAATTTTCTATTATTATTTTCCATGCCTCATGTTTTAATGATTATATTCAACAAAAGGTATTAATCCGATACTTTGATACCGATACAGTTATTTATAATTAAATATATTGTAAACATTATGATGATGATGATGATGATGATGATGATGATGTTGATGATGAATCTTCTGATGATGATAATGCTGATGAATATTCATTTCATCATATCTTAAAACCTGAATCATTATTAGGATTTTAAATTTATTTGAAACATGCAATAAATCAATAGTCTGTACCTTTTATTACAATCTTTACAACAAAAAATAATCCCCAAAACAAAAATTACCAATTATTGCACAAGTTAAAAAAAATTGTTTTTCCTTCATTCACATAAGACACCTGACTATGGAATGATTTAATTTCTCGAGGAGGAACTTCAATATTTAGCAAGAGCATGTAAAAATCAAACAACTTTTATATGAAATCAGAGAAAATCAGATAAGCTTGCGATGTGTTCATGATTTCTGATTTGGTTATAAGGAAATGAGGCTGACAGTCTTCTATCCTTCCCTCGCTTACAGGTGACTTGGCGTGTGCTATAGCAGCAATGGCTGATAAGCCTTTCTGGCTTGCAATCTGATGGTATAGCAGTGGGGGTTATATAAAATATCAGTGGATGGATAACCTCTAACTGTGGCAGTTACCAGAACTCTGTTATTTTATGCATTTAATCATATTTTTGATAAGTTATTTTCAAAATGAGAGAAAGGGCAGTGCTATTTTAAGATGCTGTGATTTTTGACAGGTACATCAATTCGGATAGTAAATCTATTTCATATGTTTCTATGTCTCCTGACTGACATTTCAACATTATTTATTTACTAGACATTTTTTTTTAACTTGATATAGGCTATTTAAAAGACTGCTCATTTTTTTAATCAGATGGTCTATTTACTCATTTTATTTTTTTATTATTCATTTATTAACTTACATTTTTTGCTTTTTAAAAAAAAAATTCAAAATATATATTGTTACCTGTGAGCAATAACTGGTTAACTCCTTTTAAATTTATAAGGACTTAACCCATTACTGCACTAATGTTGTGATAACTATATACATAATTTCTATATCCTGAAGATTATCATTTGAATTCCACTCAAAGTTACCATATAAAAAAACTGCTACAGTGAAATTTCCATTAAAAAAACTGCTTATACCATATAATTATATAATATTGATATTATGAACACAAATTTCTTCTGAGGAAATTTCAATTTAAATATACAATATAAAATCAATCATCAAATAAATAACATGACAAAAGAGTTTGTACTAATGTTTACAAACGGAAAGGATAAAGTGTTACAATGATTTTCCTCTTTATTCATCAAAAACAACCCAATTCTTAACTTCAAATGAAAATTTCACCATTGTAAATGTATCCGTTTGTATACAGAAAATTAAACAGAATTTCAAGTAAATTAAAAACATTGTATCGTAAAAGACGCGTTTAATTATATTCTTATATTCTGTTTATTATCAGATGACCATTTTTTACGTCAATGAAAGGTTGATTAAAATCGAACATTGAAACATCATATTAAAAAAAACAACAAAACATTCAAAAAGGAAAATTACTGTGTTATAATGTATATATCAAATAGTGTTTGCTTTTTCGCACAAAAATTTATTTCCAATTTTACTCCCCCCTCTGTCTGCTTTGAATATTTCACCCCCCACTCCAAATTTTTTAACCAAAAATCTTTTGATTTCTAGTTATCTTTTAAATGGAACAATTTTATATTAATGGAATTTTTTTTTTTCATTTTCATCGTCCTTAAAGAATAAGACCTTATAACTTATCTAAGTTAAAAAAAATTAGTTTAAGTGTATATCATTTGCCTGATTATTTTGGTTTATGTCATTTTGACCGATATCTTTTAATAGGCAATTATTTTTTTTAATTCTTTGTTCAAATGAGTGAATTCAATAATTCAATAAATCGTTCAAATACAATGCTTTAAATGATCAAGGGATCAAGGGAGGACAACTGCAGTGATAAATCTTCATTTATATAAATATTATCTATCCGTACATTACTGCTAATGATTATGTTGATAACAAAATTTATTTAGCATACACTTTTAGTCATGCACGTCGTTAATCAAATTAAGAATTTTTTTTATTTTTTATTATTCGCCCTGTCTGCAGTATGTCCATAAACATTTGAAGAAAAAAAAAATGTTAAAAAACGAAACATTGGAAATCAGCATTATCACTTTTCCTAAATTGAGCATGAAACAAGAGCGCACGTCTGGGGATCTCGTGCATGTCTGGGTTCAAATGCAGATTATATAACAGATACTCAGTCACACTTGCTCTATGGGTGTTTTTTTATTATTATGTTAGGCCAACCAAAGTGTTTTAGCTGTTTTTTGGACAGGATCAAAGTTCCCTTACCAATTATTTATACCTACATCAACACAGTAATGGACAGAATGCTTGTTTTTTAATAAAAATTTGCTGTTGTTTTAATGACTAAATAAGTCAACAATACAATCTTTTTAATATTATATAATTATGTTTCAATGTCTAAACTCTAAACCTGAATTTTTGTAATGGATTTGCCCAGCTTTGAACATAGACCAGTCGATTAAAAAATTTAAGGGATTTTGTATGAGAATACAAAATTTGAGCTAAACAACAGTATATAGAGCCTGGTCAGACTGCACAGATGTGCCGACTGGCATAGCTAAGGGAGTATACACCGGCTGGCATAGCTAAGGGAGTATACACCGGCAGTAACTTTAGGCTAATTAAATCACTTCCATTTCAAACAGATGTTTGCTGGCTAACATAGCTAATCAAGTATATACCGGTGGTAAAGGAAGCTAATCACTTCCGGTTCAAACAGGTTAAAGGTTAAGTACGACAAAATGATTTAATGATACCATACATAAATAACCAAACACATTAATAACAACTTGTAAAACATTCAATAATGCTTTAAGATGATAATGAAAAACAGGACTGATAACATGTTTATATCTTCTTCTTTCTCTTCAGTCATTTTTGACAATCTTTAAATCTTATTATATGAACGTAATAAAAGAATATATTCAATTTAAAATACAAAATTACCTCAAATTAAAGTCACATGATTAATGTTTGTAAAAGTCAAGGTGTGACATAGACTCCATTTACCTTCAAAAGGTTTCAGGTAAAAAATTTTTTTTTTAAATCTTTACCTTTCACTCTGGTAAATTAATGAAATTTTATTCTTTTTAATTTTTAAAGAACCTGCCAAATCCTTTCCTATAGGTATTTGTCAAGAATTATAAAATTGAGAGAGGAAAAATTGCCACTCCAAATTGACTTTTAATTTCTTCCCATAAAAGACTATTCAATAATTATATACAATAAAATGAGAATCTATAGTACTACCTTTCGTGCTTAAACAATTTTTTATCACAAATCAATTTTTAAAATTTATCGTAATGAAATTAAACTGTCAGAAATACAGTCTTATCTGGCTTAATTAGCCCGCAAATGTGGTTTTTACAACTTAATTGAAATAAGAGAAATTATCTTAACTTTAAGTACCTATCTAATTCACTGAAGGAGACCGTATGTTTTCTGTTAAAAAGTTTTTCGGATATTCCTTATCAGATTGAAATCTCCAAAGATCTTTTGCAATATGGGGGCAAAAACGATTTTTCGGAAATATGCGTAAAATGATTTTTGCGTCTATTAGTGCTATCAATGTGCTGGGCAGGTGGCTAAGAAAAGATTTTAAGCAATAACAAAATTTCTATACCTACAAAAATATATAGTTTAAGGCCAGCTGCTTTTTAAAAAAAAATTACTGCACTTAAGATTTTAAAACAGAATTAAATTTGTAGTAAAATGCGCTATCTGCTTTTATAATACTTTTTTGGGTGCAATAAAAACATATAACCTAACATTTTAACAAAATAGAAAAAAATATCTCCATATGTCTTGTATTGCATTTTGATAATTAAAAATTACTATATAACTATTTTTATTAGCCATTTTTTCTATTAATTTATAATCAGCAAGTGTTATACTTGTTCAGTTAAAACAACAACAACAACAACAAAAAAACATCAAATAATTAACTACCCTTTAAAAACGATGTGAAAATAAGATAGTTATATGAATAAAACAATTATATCAGAAAAGAATTTGAAAAAAATCAAAACACATTTTTGGCAATACAATTTTAAAAGACCTTAAGTGAGAAATAAAAACTGATCAAAATTATGACCTTTTATTTCACAACAATTCATTTTAGCTAATTTGTACAAACTGTTTATAAATTCTTGTAACAATCAATAAGGACTTCCATGATAAAAGTCAACACTTTCACAAACTTTCAGCTAATTTTCACTAAACATGGGTATATTTATATAAGATAAGGTTAGCTTTATTCCTGTATTTATCCAATTGACACATAATGACACTCGAGGATTATTTATCATCTTGCCGCAATCGAAAGTTACCGAAAGTTAGCATATTTAGGGATTACCGGCAGTTAGTGAAGGTGATTCTCTGTAAACTTCCGATAAGCCATGTCCACAGGGTATATGGACATAGCATAAGTTTCGGAACTAAACAATAAGCAAAAAGACCGCAATAATGCACTGATAGAGGCGAGTTTATCTGTTACTTTGCAAACAGTATATATACGGTGATATCCGTATCAGCCATATAACCACTAGGGGGCGCTTAATAAGGATGGGAAGTCCGTGTCAAAACAATAATCATGGAAAATCTAAAATTAAACGGAACTAACACTTTAGCATGCTGATGTATGCTGGGTAATGCTAAAAATTGTTTGAAGTTCCATAAAAATATTACCATCCAATGACGTATTTAAATGACAGATATCTATGATAATATACATAATCATGTGCAAATAAAATATTTTCTCTGTTCTTACTTGAAGATGGCCATTTCATTGACAATAAAAAAAAATGCTTGAA